TTGCAATCAAAACGATAGCTGTCTTACAACAAAAATGTTTTAAAAAAAGCATGTAAACATGCTTTTTTAGCTACCATGCCGAAAGTGACAAAAACAACTCTTTTCGAGGCTGTTCTACTTATTTCTACTTGTTTCTACTTATTTCTACTTATAAGTTACTTATCACCTACTTATTCCTACTTATATTTAATAAGGATTTCAAATCGACGCTAAGTAGATCATAAGTAGATATAAGTAGCTGAAGTAACGGTAAGTTACTTATAACTAGACAACAAGACACGGACCATCAAGTGGTATCTGTTCATGATCCAGCAACCCTTTCACCGTGCCTTTGAGCACCATGAGGATGATGAAATTCTCCTGAGATGGTTGTCCCACCTCTGCAAGCCTTTCACTTGGCAAGACTGTGGCATCCGCACCAGAATCCAAACTACTGGAAACAAATGCTCTTCACTCTGCAAGTAACCGTCGTCAGCGTCTGCTGTAGCCCATACTGCACTAACTGACAATTCTATCTCTGCACTCAACTCTCTTGGCTCATCCTCTTCCATGAAGAAGAATGTGACTGCCCTGATCACGCCACCGTCTTCATCTAGCTCCCTCAAATTAACCACAAAAGGATCCAGCGAGGTTTGTGAAAATCTCTTGACGCTGGCTCGACTGGGATTTGTAAGCAAAACTGCTGCGCTGGCATCGTCCCGCGCTGCATTGCTGGTTCCACCTCCAGTTGATGGTGTAGAGAACTGTGGATTCTCAGCTACCTGCCGAACTCTCCAGCAATCTTTTGCCACATGGCCCGGCTTGCCACACGTGTAACATACTTTGCCTTTGCCTTTGTCATCTTTCCAGGAAGATTGCTTCTCCCTTTTCCTTTGCCCCAGCCTTCTTTGTTCCAACTTTCATAGCCCTTCTTATCTCCATCTCCTTTGCCTTTGCCGCCTTTTTGTCCTTTCCTTTGCCCTTTGACTTACCGTCCTTAGTTTTCCCCTTGCCCTTCTTCCCTTTGTCCTGAACTCGTTAAACTTTGTCATCCGAAGTCAACATCATAGCTTGGCTCCACTTCAATGTTGCCTTGTCATTTGCAAGGACCTTCTCTCTCAAAGTGACATAGCGTGTAGATTCCGAAGCCTGCAGTTGTAGCCACGTTTTTGATGTTCCCTGAAAGACACTTCATCAACACAGCAAATTTGATCTCTTCAGCCAACGTCGCTCCAGTCTTCTCGTACTATCGAAAAGACATCTTCTAGCTTCACAAGTTGTGACAACATATTCTTCTGCGTGTCAAATGAAGACCAACTGAGAATAGCCTTGACACTGAGTATGCCGAGGGATCTATTCCTCCTCACCGGCTCCAAGAAACTCAAAAGTTGTCTGTAAGATACAGGAATGAACTGCGGCTTTTCTCTTTGTCTTCCATCAAGGAGCTGTCAACCTCTGTCGATGGCTTCTTTCTCAAAGCTTCGAAGTCTGCAAGATATTCAAGATCAAAGGATGCTGAGCCGGTTCCACTGACATGCAAAATCACGCCACATCGACAATTCCTCTTCTCCGCTCTTAGGATCAAAGACTCCAGGCTTGGGCAGTGTCTTGCGCCAACTCTTTTCATCATTTCTTTGGCTCAGCTCTGCCGAAGCTTGAGCTGCTACCATTGTGGTGGATGCAGCTTCTGTCGCCAACATCATTCTCCTTGTTTTCTGCTCCATCTATCTGCTGGCCTGCGGCTCCACTAGGGCTTCCAGCTGGGCTCATCACCGGGGAACCCTCCGCACCAGCCATGGCGTCGAAAACCTGAGCCTTATTTGTCCGGGATCCTTGGCTCCGCTACCATGCGAAAGCGGACCTTTTCTTGAACATTCACAGCCTAGCGGAGTATACTGTGAAACCTGAATATGATTCAAATGTCTATATAAGTAATAGATAATTGCATAACCTCCCTGATTTCCTGCCTTGCCTAGCCGCCCTGGCTGCTTGCCTGCCAAACCGCAATGAAAGGATGCATAACGGGAAAAGGTGGCCAACGTGTTGTGTACATGTCTATACTATTTTATACGACTTGCAGTGCAAATCTGCAACCAATATGGGAAAAGCCAAGGAATCCCTCTTGAGACCCCAACTTGTACCTCTCAGCTTTGAAGTGCCTGCAGAAGAGCCGAACATGGCCGCAGAAAGTTCAGTTGAGCGCGCTATAGTACGCTTAGGCATTGATGGTGTGATCTCAAACCATGTCGCGCTAGCTTTCGTAGTTGTAAGACTGTAAGACTTTAAGGCCTTTATGCGCTTCCACTTGCCTACATTCGCTCATGTTTGCATTGCTTTGCTCGAGTGTGCTCAATTTGCGCCTGGGGTCAAAGCCCAGGAGGCCTGAAGGCACCGCACCCTTTTCAAGCTCACTGTCCGACTCCCTAAGTTGTGCAGCGACGGCAATCTTTCCGACACTGACCAAGTCTTTTACAGCATGCTGTCTGCAAGTGCTGTCTACAAGGTGCTTGCTTCTTTTCTGGTCTTCATCTGGTCCTTTACTTCCATGTCTTTCACTGTCTTGAAAACATCAAGGAAGGCCAACAAACTATGCGCTGAGGAAAAAACACGCTGAGGAATGGCACAGACTGCACAACACAAGGCTTTCAGTCAGGAATTGTCAAGGCAGAAAACCAGGTGCGCAAAGGCTCAAAGATGCTCAAGGCTCACGAGAAGACTAGAAACATACTCTCTGAATCTCTTCTACACCCCTACATGGAATGTAAAGTGACGGGTCATTCTGGCCATTTTGGCCTCCCGGTCGACTTCTGGCTCCGGTGCTGCGCACGTCAAGCAAGTCTGCACAAGCTATGCATACTCTGAAAGTGAAACGAAACAGAAAGACATCCTTTACTTATATGTTTGATCATGAAAGATCAGAAAGAATAAAAGATTGAAAGAATCATGAAAGTGTATGAAAGTGCACGCATTGATTGACCGAGAAACTTGGTCGGTTTTGCATTCTTACATTCGACACCGCCAATTGTAGAAAGGAGAACTCTGTCGCAACGAAGGCACCAGGATGCTGATGAGCACAGCCACAGCAGCAGCCTAGCGTAAGGATTTGTTTTCAGCAACGTTTTGGCCTTGATGCTCTATATGATCTCTTAAGACTCTTTTCTGAGGCAAATACTATCCAGGTCAAATGAAGCCCAGATAATGAGTAGCCTCCACCAAAGATCCAAACCATTGCAGTTCAACGGTCATGTCAAGGAAGTAGCGGTACTAGAATTGAATTAATCATGTTCCAATCAAACAATTTCACGGTAGATTTTGTCATCCTGTGTCGTTTGCAACCAAGTTTGGTTGCAGCTGCGTCAGGTGTCCAGGCGAACATTCTGTGGCGCAGGTTTCGCATCTGACCTGAAGTGGAATTTCATCCTCCAACAAAGCACGCGTAAAATAGATTGGCAACAAGATACTCTCTCTTCTGCAGCGTGTCTGAAACACGAAACCAATTAAGATTTCGAACATCATCCCACCCACCAACGTCAAAGAAATTGAAAACATTCGAGAAACACAAAGTATGACGGTTGGGAAACACATATCATTTGGTTCCAAGCACATAAAGAAGGCACCAACAATGAAGTCGCCATGAAACTGTCCGTTTTTTTGTCCCACTGGTTGCTACAGTCGGTTGTTGTCCTCTCGAAAATCGATGTTCGAACTCAATGTTTGAGCCAGTTGGGCAAGTTGAGTCGCACCAAGTTTTGAATTGTTTCAGTCTAAGGCTTGCGCTGAATGCTTAGGGCGTTAGTCCCTCAGCGATGGAAAGCGTTGACAGGTGACAAGCGCACAAAGTGGCTCACAGGTTGGGTGAATCATCTTTGCAGTTGAAAGGTGCATCAATCGGATCACGTAACACCCGCGCTCAGCTCCGTTGTAATCTCTGCTGTAAGTTTGTGCTTTAAACTCCCGGCGGCCTTCCATTTCTTTGGACCACTCCCTGGCGGGTTTCATTCTTTATCCTTTAAATTCTACCTCGAAACACTTCACTTTGCTCAAGCTCAGCCAATATAACCTCCTAAAATGTTTCTTACTGGAGATGTAGCTGCAACGCAGACAAAGAAAGAAGCAGTTGCACTTCCCTGCGCTAAACAACAAGTGGAGCGGGCTTTTCAACTTTGAGCCCTGTTTTGAGCTAAGTAGGCAAGCAAGGAATGAGTAATGCGGAATTAAAAATGGCCTGCAGTTCGTTTTTTGCGTGTCATCCTTGTGGCACGCCATCACACGCAAGGATCTGAGTGGATTCTATTTCACGCTCCCCTTGGTAGTTGGAACTTAGAACGTTTTCCTTCTGCCGCTCAAAGAGGGCGGTGCGTAACCTCTAGATCTATGTTCCTGTTACTTAAGGGCGGCTATCGTAGAGCCGCCGTTGGGGGAGCGGCTGAAACCTTGGGTTTAGCAAGCATGCTCCCAGAGGCTCCCCACAGAGCCACACAAGCACATGTAAGCAACCAAGTCTGAAAGCGCTGCGCTGACTCACTCTTTTCTCATATCGCAGCTCTGATTCAGAGTCAGTGGTGCTATCACGACACGCCGAGTATTGAAGGTAAATGACTCACCCTTTCACCAGCAACCCATGCTGTGAACACACATCACGTGGGACATATCACCAAAACAAGGCTTTGCATTGAACAGTGATGTGTGATTATGTGAGACTAGTTTTTGACTGGCCCACACAATGTGTTGCGTGCGGGGTCAACAAATCAACAAATGCATCCACTGCTGTACGCTGATGCGCCAAACGATAAGATCTAAGATTTTTAAGATCACATGATCTCAGATCTCTACTTCCAAAGGTGTCGTGCATTCTTGTGTGGCTTCAACTTGCTGCTGCTGCTGCTTTTGCCTGTACAAGCGCGAGTTGAGCCAGAACCATGCAATGCACCACGCACCACGGCCCGCGGGTCGAAACGAATTTCTGATTCACCAAACCTTGCAAGATGCTCATCCAATCGAGCTTTGAAGGTGCTCCACTGGTGTCCGCTTCGTTGCCAAGGTCAAAAATTGCTTTTTGAAAGTCTCTTCGCCAGGCCTTTGTTTTGGCGCCGTATTGAACTGTCAAATCCTTCTTTTATACGTATCCAATCTCCAATGTCCAAACTCGGTTAATAAACAAGAGACTGAATTGTTTGTTCAATGAACCTTGGAACCATCATTAAGTTGCGAAGTAAACAAAGTACTGATTAGATCTGTCAATCAGGGGGCAAGCGCTCATGATCGAGCACCAAATAAGGCTTTCCACCAACGAACTTCACGATTGCTTCATGACCCTTCTCATTGATCTGGTTGACTCCAGAGAACAAAGCTCAGAGGAGATCTTCAAGGTCATTACAACAGGTTCTCGATTGGCCGCCAGCACGGCAATCTCCAAGGAGAGAGCTTTAATCTCGAAAGGGGTCAGCACATTGGACATGTTGTTCGCAACCATGTTGAATAGCTCCTTCAAGATCATCAAAGTTCTCTCTGTGTTGAGCTCAGGATGCAAAAAGTCACAATACTTCCCAATCTCTGTCTTCATTTCGTCCAAGAAGTTGTGCTTGGAAGCAATGTTGTAGATCGCACGGGTTGCTTCAAATGACCTCCAAGATGACCAATGTTCTGGCCAAACTCGTTGAATCATGGCGAAGTATTGGTTTTCATAATCGTGGCATCCGTTCAGCTCCCAGAAGCCAGATAATTGAAATAAGCTGCACAACAGCTCAACCTATAGCTAATCCTGTCCATCCTGTCCATTGCCTTTCAGCCATTGTTTGAACCGGAACTGTTAAGGAGTTTATGTCCCAGAATGGCTCAATCTGTCCAGCCTTTGCTGCCATGAGACTGCACTGACCTTGCGTATGAGCTCCATGAAGCTTGTCCGAGAATCCGTGTGGAAAGAATTATGGTAGCTGATCCTCCGGATGGATACATCGGTGAATCAGAATCAAGATGCAGTTCAACAGCCACAGGCACACACAGCGCAGGCACACCGCCATAACACATAATGACCCACATACAAGAAGCAAAGTACAGCCGTTGAGTAGACTGTTTTTGATTGAGTCACATGTCACATGGAAAATAAACATAGGAACGCAAAACAGGAAACAGTGGAAACAACGATTGCTGACGATCAACGATTGCTGTCTACCAACACTGACAGCCCAGCACCCATTAGCCCATTAGGCCCAGATAATAGATACTGCGGAACGCACTACTTTGTCCATTTCAGCTGAGCGACAAGGTAGCGAAGGTAAGAGCAAAATACGATTGCGATTCTCCAGCATCATCTGGTGCCAGGCAAACCCATGCTTCACCTCTCACCCCCTTCACTGTTCCTCTTTGCTCCACCAACCGCTGCTATTCCTGAAGCACTTGGTCCTGGCGTCTATCATTGAGCGGGCGTCTCCTGATCGTTCTCTCGCCGGCTGCAGTGTAAAAGGAATGGATTTGATCCCCTGCACCTGCAGGGACAGCAGGCGCTGCATGTGGCAAGTCTTTGTGTTGAAATCAAAAATCAATATCTTGCTTTGCAACTGACTAATGACTCAACTCATGACTGAGAGCAAGAAATGATGGCATCCAACAGCTGACGGCCAGGTTTCCATGGAAGCATCGTAGATGTACAGCTTGCTCGAGTTGACCGGTAGCTTGAGATCACCACTGCCCGCAGCAGTGCCACCACCACCGCCTGATGAACTTGCACCCGGGCCCCCTCCGGCGTTTGCCGCCATGAATGTGGATGGTGCGTGTCAAGTTGAGGTTGAGGATCAGCAAGACTCACAGTGGTCAAACAGCAACCACCCGCAAAACAATCTGCAGAAACTATGGTCAGAACAGTCAGGCAGTTAGACAGTGGTCTACAATCGGTGGTCTACAATCTTATCTAAATACATGTAGGCTGGATTTTTCGTTGTTGTTATTGTTACTTGTTCTTGTTCGATCAGGCGTCTTGAGTGAGTTTCCTCTAAGACCAGATTAGACTATTTTCTAACTATTAGTCTATTTCAATAATTCTAACTAATAGTTAGAATTCAAATAAACTAATAGTATAAACTAGGGGATAATTTAAAGTCTATTTTGTTGAATAGACTCAAGTCTATTTTGCTAAACAACCTTGGAATGTCAAGATTATGTTGGAAAAACCTGAGATCTTGTAAAGACATTTTGTTAGTCCATTTTAGGTGTTTGTGGTCACACTTTTGAAAAACACAAACTTGAGCAATGTGTGTGGCCCAAGTAACATTGAGCAGAGCCTAAGTAACATGGCCTAGGTAACCGTACATGGCCTAAGTAACATGCAAATTTTCTTTCAAACTCACATCACAAAGTATTTTTGGTGTCAAGTGTTGTGGAAGGCTCACAAGCTTCCAGAGGATCAGCAAGACTGACAAAAGGGTAGATGTTGTAGTTTCATGAAGAAACAAGTTTTGTCTATGTTTGTCCTAACTAGCATCGCACACATCTCCTTTCTTTGCTTTGAGCACCTGTAGCACACATGGCCGTCTCTAAGGGAATGAAGGTGGACCCTTCCAGTGGTGTGATGGACCTGCAAAGAGTGCTGCCAAAGGAAATGAACAGAGGAGCTGACAAAGATCTGTTTTCTTGTTTGAAGCATCCTACCAATGCTCAGTGGAGTTGGAAGACAAGTTCTTGTCCTCAATGGATGGCTCAATGTCATGAAATGTTGGTGTATTTCTTGAAGATTGCACCAAATGGGCTACTATAGGTCAGCCAAAGTTAAGCTAGCACTACAGAGGATGATCCAAGACTGTTCAAAAATGGTCAACAAAACACACTTCCATACAGCTGACTTTGTGGACCAGGTAGATCAAAGGATTCGTGTTTTGCTTGCACAAGCCAGAGGCATCAAGAAGAACCATGAAGCTCACGCAACAGCAATGAGGAAGGCCACCTTCGATTCCAAAGAGAAGGTTGACACCATTTTGGAACACCTGCAGTTGGACGGAGCTGATGACAGTACTCCTTCGACAGTACTCGCTCCACAG